GGGGGGGGGGCGCGGGATCAATGCGGCAGTGTTTTCGCGCGGGTTCACGAGGTCACGCAGGCGTAGACACAGCATGGGAGTTATTTATGTCGAGTCGGGTTATTGTAAACTGAATCCGGCAAATTGCACATCGGCTCCTCGGGGCCGCCAGCGGCCGGTGCGCAGGGGTCAGTGGCAGGCAGTCTGTCCTCCCCTCTGGAGACAGTCATTGTCCCGGGTCTGACACTGCGTCGGGGGCTCGGAGCGGCTCCATCCATCTCCATCCACTTAGCGCCGCGCTCCCACCCGGGCGAGGGCTGAGCTGGACCTTCCCGCCCGGGGATAATTATGTCCCTGCTTGGCACCGCCATTCATTGCTTGTCATAACGCTGCCCCCAGCCAGAGCTTTTCCTTGGGAGGCAGGAAAGGGCAGAGAGAGGCTTGGGCCCCGTGTGGAGACCAGGGCTGGTGGGAAGGGGGGGGGGCTGTCCCGAAACACCCGCCGAGCAGGCGAGGTCCGCGCACTTCAGGGGCAACCTGACGGGGAGCGATGTCCCTCTTTCTTCTCACATGAATCCCAAGTAATCATGGCCATCATTTACCGAGGCCATTTCCCTTCCCCAGCGGTTTTATTTTTACGAGCTTATCTTTCCCCCTTATTAGCCTCCGATCTGTCTCCTCCAGAGCCCAGCTCTCTAATTCCCCATAAACCCTTATTATGAGGGAAACGCTTCCTTTCTGACAATTTAATAGTCCAAAGTCATCTTCTGCGTGACATGGCCCATCCATCTTCTCAAAAGAGGAAACAAAGAGGAGGGTTTTTTTCTCTGTGCCTCTCCAAGTCCTTTTCTATTTTGAGCAGCGGCCCCCACAATGGGATCCTTATGAACCATAATGGTTATGTTTATGAAGCCAGCGATACCAGTGTATGAAGACAATTTTATGCCTAATTAGAAAATGATGTAACCGAGAGGCGGACAAAGCGGGGTTGTTTCCCGGCGCGGAGTCCGCGGCCCTCACTCCTGGGCCAGTCCGTGGCCTCTGCCGTGGCTTACGTCCACTATTTTTATAACACGCGTCCATTAGCTCCTCAAACTGTTTGTGGTGTTGCGGACAGTTAGTAAAACAGCTCAATTTAGCGGTGCATTGAAGCAATTTTGAAACGTGTTCCAAGGGGACCCGCCTGGAAGGGGCGGTGGGAGCCCTCCCCGCGCCCATCCGAGGGGACTTCACCTCTGGGAAGACTCCAATAACGGCATCGCCAGCCCCGCTCGGATCCGGGATAATTTTTAATATATATGCAATAAATGTTCACTTTGTTAGATTGAATGACAGACCATAATATCGGCAAATCTTCATATCCATCCATTACAGGCAAACGAGCCGCACAAAGGACATATTTGCTTTTGATTAATTTATTTGCAGACTCTGTTTGATAAAGCAATAACTATTTGGTTAAACTTGACATTTGGTCTTCGGGGGGTTATCAGACAAATTCCCTCTCGTTTGGGGGAGATAATAAAGCTGTTTAAATGGGATTAATTATTAATTGGTTGCAATTAATTTCCCCTCTTCTCTGCTCTGGCAAACAATGGGTATCACTCAGCCCCGAACAAAGGCGGCCCTAGCCCCCCGCCCCCGGCCCGTGCAAACTTTCCACTTGTGCTGTATTTTTAGAGGCTAGGTCTAAACTTAACGGTGACTCTGGCTAACATGGCACCTGTCTGTCAGCCTCATCTGCTCTCTGTGCAGATAGCCCCTGTCCATCCATCGATGCATGTAACACGGCCCTGGGTTACTCATCTCCAGGGATCTCTTCTGCCAGGTGAAACAAGTGTTTCTGTAACGCGGGGTGGGCTCAAGGCAAACCATCGCCCGGTGTCTCCACGGGTTTGCCTGGACCCAGAGTGGGGCAGAAACCTCCCAGCGCCGGGGAGAGGACCCGGGTCCCAGCGCCGTGCTGGTGCTGCCCTGCCCGAGCGCGGCCGCGGGCACGGCGCCCAGCCCCCGGCCCTGCCCCTGCCCAAGCACCCGGGCTGGAGGGGCTGCGGCCTCCGCAGGGGGCAGGGAAGCCCCCGGGAGCTGCTCCTCG